GAGAGAGAGAGAGAGAGAGAGAGAGAGAGAGAGAGAGGAGGGGGGAAATAGAGAACGATAAAGATTGGAGGGATACTGTTTACTAATATAACTCTAATATCCAGTAATATCGTAATTTTCACTAATTATATATCATGATCGCCTCTCGTTGCTGTTATTGTTATCAAATTAATTTTTCCTTTGTCAGCGGCCTTGTGTCCTTTAGTTCTATAGGCCAACCCAGTGATAACATGTAATGTATTTACATAAATCTAAGCTTTCACAGTCAGGATTTCAAATGAAAATATGCTTATTTATGAAAGTGAAACAAGATGCAGAAATAGGGAGGAGGAAAAAAGATAAAATATCGCCAATGTATCTCCCTGATTACTACGCTTAATTAAATAACCTGCAATAAATTTGTGCAAAAGAACAGCAATCTTGCGGTCTCACAATCACAAGACTGAAAGCAAGCCCAATGTCGTTTGTAAGGCCTTTAAAAACTGCACCAAAGGAATATCTAAAATAGAAATCTAGTTCAGCTCGGTTATAGCTGTTAATATATGTCTTTGGGCGGCTCAAAGACGGTGTTTTGTCCCTGCTTTTGCGGAGATTATTAGACCTTCCCCTTACAACAGAACGCAACAAATTGGCGCATTGTGGCGAGTCTCTTCCCCCGGATTACGTAGGTTTATTCCCAGAATATTGTGCGTAATTGTACCTTCGACGTAAAAACGGCTGCTCTGAATTAATAAAGATATGATAACATGCGCGGGAGAGTGGTTATTGACACCGCCCCCGGCACGCACGTGTGGCTAGTGAGTGTAATATCTAGGTCACGGGTTGGTGAGCGGTGCGCGTGCGTAGCTAGTTATCTGTCGCACGCCTGGCTGCAGCTTTGAAATAAAAGTGGCCGCTCGTAAAACTGACAAGTGGTTTTGTCTTCTTCATTCGCTCCCTTCCTCGTCTTTTCTTTGTATCTTTAACAAGTTTTTTGTCCGTCCATCGTTGCATCGGTTTCCTTTTTTTTCTTTCTCTCTCTATTATTAGGACCCTTCTTCTAATTCGGTTGTCTCTTCTGTGTGGGTTTTTCGGGGGCCTTCGTTTCTTTTCTTTTTTCTAGTTTTTGTTTTCAATTTGTTTGATGGACTACAAAGTGATGATCACAATTTGCATTTATTATTTAGTTTCTGTCGTGCGCTGATTCTTTTGTTGGTGTACTAGACACTTACGAGCTGTAACGCCTCTGGTGGTTACAAATGAAACCCCCGCTTTTTTGTATTGGTGTTATTTGGGTTTTTTTTTAGAATAGAGAGAGAGGAAGAGAAAGAGAAGAAGAGAGGTAGAGATAGATAGAGATAACGAGAGAGAGAGAGAGAGAGAGAGAGAGAGAGAGG